GTGGGTGTCTGTGCAAGTTTGGGTGTAATTAACAATGAGCAAGGAGATCTTGCTAAAGTTTTAGTCTCTGGGACCTAGGATTTAAAAAAGAAAATTTTTTATTGTTGACACTATTACACATGTCTCCCATTTTCCGTCCCTCTTCCTCCTTCCACTGAGCCCCACAACTCTGGCCTTCACCACATTGTTGTTTGTGTCCATGGGCTTTGCATATATGCATATATTTGCATATATGTTCTTTGGCTAATCTCTCCCAGTCCCCCTACTTCTCTCCCCCCTGAGATCTGTCAGTGCCTTGCATGGGTCCATGCTCCTGGTTGTATTTTGTTCATTAAATTCCACATATGAGTGAGATCATATGGTATTTGTCTTCCTCTGATGGGTTTATTTCACTTAGCATAATGTTCTCCAGGTCTGTGCATGCTGTCACAAAGGGTAAGAGTCTCCTCTTTCTTCATAGCTATGTAGTAGGCCATTGACTAAATGTACCACAGCATTTTTATCCACTCACCTACTGATGGATGCATGGGCTGTTTCCAGACCTTGGCTATTCCATTTTCTTCTTACAGGATTGAATTTTTCTTACATAACTAGTATCTTCTGTTAGGGTGGCTCTGTGGGTGCGTGTGCACGTGCAGGGAAGAGTGGTCAAGGGCACAAGCTGGACCACCCAACAGTTATCCTGTTCTGTTAGTTTGGATCCTATACTTGCACACATTGACAACCCCCAGGATGACTCGGATGTTGCACCCAACAGCTCTGTGGTCCACACAGTTCTCAATTTAACATCTCTCTTCTGTAGGCCACTCCTTAGCGGGAAAAATGCCTAGTGCACATGATAGCATATGCTGCAAAGATAATAAATATGATTTTCTCTTCTCTCGGCCTTTTCTCTTTCCTCTACCAGTTCCTCTGAGTGCAACATTATTAATGGTAATCCTGTAATTTTTGTTTCTTGGTTTTGAATTAATTGCATTTCCACGAGTCCTGTGGTTGACTTTGACTTTTCCTTGTTGTTTTTATAAACCTGATAAGGTCGGCTTGACTTGAAAATGTGATTTAGTCACTATTTATTTATTTGAGAATTTTTATAAGAGTTTATTTGCGCCAAACTGATGACATAGGCTGGGGAGCAAGATCTCAAATGCTCTGTCTGCAGGTTATAACTATTAAGTGCAGGTCATAAAATTTCTGTTCAGTGTGGGCCCGCTTTTGCCTGTAAGTTACCTACACACACACTTCTATGCACATGCAGAAAAGTACTCTGGAAGGAGATGTGCTGAAGTGTAATCTTTACTCTAAAAAAATGGGACTCTCAGAAAATACAGTGATTCTGTATTTTCTAATTTTTCCTATAGTCTGTTGCTTGTGTACTTAAAAAAATACTTTAAAAAGTCATCCTCAAGCTTTCTGTGATAGCGGTGCAAGATCTGACACCCACCCCCTGGTGTTGTTAATGGTAATTTATTTAAATAGTTTATTTGAAATGGCACTTATTTTTGGAAAACGTTGGGACTCCTGAGTCACCCGTCATATTTTCGGGAAATGGATGAAACAAGAAACCCCAAAGGAACAGGTGAAGATTTACTAGGCAGAGGTCTGTCTTGCACTGAAAGGTTTTTGGGTCAAGATATAGGTACGTGCATGAGCTCAGATGGAACTTTCCTGAGCTATGGAGGGGCTGAATTTAGCGGTGAGCTAAGGCTCCGGGTCACTTAGTGAGTCACCCAGCAGGGAATGGCTAGTATCTATGTCCTGGGGCTTTGTAGGTTGAAACGCCGTCCAGCAGGCACACCGTGTTCCTAGAGCACTCTGGGCTTGCCTGCCTCGCAGGGACCCCACGTTACCAAGCACTTTGCAAAGCCACCACCAGCTGCTGAGCTGACTCACCGCCAACAGCCTCTAGAGTCTTGGTGAATCACAGCTCACCGACAAGCTTAGTGAAAACAGGTCAATCGCGCTATGTTATCCTCATGGGTCACTGTATACTTTTAAAAACCAAGGTTAGCTTGTCCTGGGGCGGCACTGTTTTACCGGGTTGGGTTTACAAGCACCCCTCGCCCTCCTGGGCACGGCAAGGCGCTGCTGTGGGTGCGTGGCTGCTCACGGTGGCGAAGTGGGTGGGAACGGTGGGGAGGAAGGAGGCAGATGGAAGTAAGCGCTGAACTGGGAGTGCAGCTTCTTCAGCGTGTGTCTTGCACTGTGGTTTGGAACAAAAAGTGTAGGTGTGGGAGGTAGACACACCAGGTTCTGAACCCAGCGCCCGTCACCTATTTCGTGATAACCTCGGAGACAGCTTCCTCACCTCTAACTCGGGCACAAAGCAGATTTGCTTTTTCATTTTTTGGGAGGATAAAGACAAGGAATGCGTGTAAAATAACAGCCTGGTGTATAGCAGAATTTCAGTATCTCTTCTCCTCTAGTGAGTTTCCAGGCCAATTGCTGACCATGAACACAGACCAGGGGTTCACAGGCTTTTTGCCTAAAGGGACAGATGGTAAATCTGTATTAGATAGTATTTTAGGTTTCACGGGCCAGGAGGCAAAATTGAGGATATTATGTACACCCATAGCAAAAAACAAATTTCACCAATTCGTTGACGACTCTCAAAATGTAATAGTAATAGGGTACAGTTTTTCTAATATAGACAGATCAGTGAAAAGCAAGGTGTTTTTCCCCCCTGGGGAGACAACATTTTACTTAATTGGTATTCAAATTTCCTGTTCCCTGTCATCCAGCGCATGCTGGTGTTCTTCTGCATGAGCCATTCTGACCTCGCAGGCCAGGAGCACACGGGTGGCAGGCTGCAGTTGGTCCACAGGCCGTAGCTGGCCAACTCCTGCTGCAGACCGGTCATTAGCAACACCAACTGCTTGTGCCTTGACCCAGCCACCCATGATGAGTGAGTCACTGGCATCATGACTGATACACAAAGAACCGCTGGGGGCCTTCAACCTGGAACGGAAGATGATTCAATCTTTAAATAAAGGGGCTGGTGGAAGCCGACAGAGTGCATAGTCTATGTGATCAAATGGCTAAAGACTATCTCTGTTTGTGGCAGAAATCTGGAAAGCAATAGGAAGAAGTTATCAGGCCTCATAAACTAACCACCCGGGCAGAGAGAGATGGAGTAGTGAATGAGACCAGTGCCCGGACGAGGTCTTTCTGCTGTCCATCCGTTAGGAAGTGGGCATGCCTACTTTTAGTGAGGACCTAGCGAGGGAAGGATTGACGCTTGGCACATAAAATATCAGAGGGTCCCTCCCTGGTGACTTTTCTGACCTGCATGGCCAGTTTGTGCACAGGTGTGAGAGGCAGAAGCTGATGAATAGTGACAGTGATTTATCAGCCAAGTTGTACTGTGTTCCCAACAGTGGACCCCACACCACCTCCCCAGCTGGTCTTCAGTGACATAGATGAGGCGCATTGAGTTATTTTTGGTGTGTCACGGAGAGCATGCATCAGCATAAGACCAAGTAAAATAGGTTACTAAGCATCGATTCTGAAGCAGAAAGCCCAATAATTCAGTATTCTGCCCAGCACCCTAGCACGGCCCATGGGGACAGGGCAGGAGGGTCACAGTGGCAGCAGCTGTCTGGGCCCGATGGCCCTGTGGGGGAGGGCGCACAGCCACAATGGCGTAGGCTTCCTGAGCGCAGGGCTGGGACCGTGCTGCAGCGGCGCCTCGGCGGATTGTATGGAGACGCGCGAGTGATTCATTCTCAGTCAGAACAAGACAATCTAGATTTTGGTGCACGTGTTTTCAAAACCCCAAAGTTTCATTTGCACAATGTGGCGTATTTCACAACAGAGTCCGTGAAGAGAGAAATGGGAAGCAGTCCCCAGAACACAAACATGCACCTCGCAGTTTATCCCATTCGGATTTACGTAGCTGTGTATTTGGCTGTGGATAACGTGCACTTTTTGCCCAAAATTTTGAGGGAAAAATAAGGATGCACATTATAAATGGGTAGCGCCGGAGATACCGTGCATCTGTTCTTGTGTTTGATGATTCTTTGTTACATAAAATGTCTCACCCCATAATATGTTCAAAAACAAACGCTAAAATTCTTTTATTATACAAAAACCAAGTATCTAAATATAAGTAAATAAAAATTGAATTAAAAAGTTAAAACAAAAGATTTTTCCCCTGAAAGTTAGGGGCCAAAAATGTGGGAGCACATTACACAGGCCAAAATATGCTAAATCACTTAGCAGTACTTGGATGAAAAAAGGAGCAAGAGAATAGGTACAGTCTTCGCAAAAAGGAAGTACTAATATCTGTGTATACTAGTAAAAGCAGAGAACTACTATGAGGTGGAAATTTTCCAGTGGAATAGAGAAAATGAGGATGAGTATTAAAGTTAAGCAACTCGACCAGACATCTTTGAGAACTGAATTGCCAGCTGAGGAAGGCATGTGTTTCTGAACGTGCACGTGTTTCTGAACATGCACGTGTTTCTGAACATGCACGCTACAGATGTGGAAGAGGGTTGACGCGCAAAGGGCCATTGGGGACCCAGATGGGTAGAAAGGGTGCCGGGAGAGCTGGCAAGCTACACACTGTGTGTGAGAAAGAGAAATGATGCCCAACTGCCGCCCATAATTGGAAGTTTATTGAAAGCTTGTGGGTGTCACGTGAGTCTAACATTCCGGTGGTCATAAGGCTTTGCAGGGTAAGGTTTTTAAGTTTTGAGATAGTTGAGAAAGTGCTTACACCTTCTTGTCATTAACTTCTCCTTGGGGAAAATGAAGCTATTTATGAGACAGAAATATTTTAATGTGTTGCTTTAGCTGAAGAGCAGTTTTTAGCCAGAGTATATTTAGCAAGTGAGTTTTGGTGGTGTGTTTAACAAATATTTCCTCTCTGAGCTGATGCAGAGCCGGTTTTGGTATATCCAGAGAACACAGGGCAAATGCATTTTCTCTTAGTTTATCTAACAAATTGGGATAAAACACACACTTTGTTTAAAGATACATGTCAAGAAGGAAGACTGAAGTATACTTCCAAGCAAAATTTATTAGATGTCTATTCAAGAAAAACACAATGACCTTTGCTTGTAAGAATTCAAAGTCAATTACCTGAAAACCAGGTGTGAATATTTTTCCTTTTAAAATCAGATACAGAGAGTAGAAACAGTAATTTTTTTCTTAAATATGACAGGCAACAGATATTGAAGTCTTTCCCATAAATGGCATGGAAGATAGTTACTCATTTATCAGCAAAGCTGCATGCGGCTGACCTAATTTCAAAACAAAGGCCTTTAAAATATAAAGCTGGCTGTGAACTTGACAGTGTTCAAGGTAGGCTACTCAAAGATGTTTCTTTACCCTTTTCCTACTGAAATTCCTTGGTACTGGATATTTACATCCATTTCAGTTTGGCTGCTAAGATCTTTTAAGTTCATGAACTTTGCATGAATGCTGTCTTACAGAATCACAATGTCAAGGTGTGCTTATCATCTGTGGGATTGGTAAAAGACAGCCTTTAGCTCAGTTGAAGGGAAGAATGAAGACCGAATTAGGAAATTCCCTTGTTTTCTCAACAACTAAATAGTCTGTACAAAAAAAAGAGCAAACATATGTACAAAATTGTAGAGTCTACACACATTGTGAAAAGATCTGTCACTGTCCACAGAATATCATAAAAAGTTTTATCTATAAGGTGCTCAAGATCCAAATATGAATAGTTCTTATGCAAAGTCATAAGAAATACAAAGCTAGTTCTCAGGGTGTGTGTGATTCGGGCACTGTAAACCATGTCTAATCTTTCCGGTCCCAGCATCATTTTGTCAATTTCTACTTCAGGGAAGGAAATACAACCTGAAGGATTTAACATTGCTTCTTAAAAGTGCCTAATGAATTCCAAGGAAATATTGTACACACACCAGGAAAATCAGGCTCAACATATTCCTGTCCTCAAATGTAGCCAGGATTCTGAGTTCCATAGAAGAAAAATAATTATCATAGTAAAAATAATTGTATTGATCATAACCCTTGCTAAAACCAGCCTTAATACTTGTGATGCTTCTAAATTACTCTATTTCTATAAAATAAAGTGTGGTATTCTTTTACATTTCCATAAACTGTACGACATATCACACGAATTGTCTGTACTCATACATTTGCAAATGTGTGTGAGCACACAGTGAAATCTTACCTATGAATATTGCTTACAGAGACTTTCAAGTGTCTATGTTAGAATAACTTTTTGCACCTCTCACTAACACTGCTTTTATTTCAATTTTATCCGATAAATAAAACACTAAGAGCTCATTGTTCATGATGCTGATTATTACATTTTAATATAAAATAGCAATGCAACTTTACAACACAATATTTTTTTTGCAGTCTAGCTAAACCTCTTATATTCTCATGATTATTACCAAAAACTTTTATTCACTTACTGTTTGCACTTCTAAAAAGTACAAAAGAATCGCAGGGAGAGACTGCTATTGAAAACTCACATTCAATCCCCCAAAATCTCACTCATCCGAATGAACTTTCCTACCCTTGCTTTAGGTTTTGTAATCACTGTGCATATTACAACATCGAAGTGCAGGCAAACAATAGCTGAAGTACAGTTGTCATGTCGTGTAAACGAGGACACTAGGCAAACTCGTGAAAAGGAAAATACACTGCCAAGCTAAGAGTGTGAAAATGCACACCGTGGTATTAAGTAATAAACCGTCTTCAGGACACCTGACGGGAGGGACGTACTCTGAAGCGGGCCAGGGAGCTTCCTTGAGACACTCTCATCCTCTGCCTTGGACAGTTAACCCTTTTCAAGTGTAATGATTTTCTTTCTGATCCCATCACACAGAGCAGTCAGTTCAGAGCAGAAAGCAGGAATAATGCACTTTCACATGGAACCAGCCTGCCAGTCTCCCCAGGGCTCAGCTCTGGCAGTTACGTTGCTGGTGGTTGGGTGGCGGGTGGGGATGGTGATGGCGGGTGACTTCTATTGGAAACCGTAAGGCATGACAGCGGGGGGCCTGCGGGGACCTTGGAGGGCAGGTTACGCAGATGTGGTGCTGAACCGCAGCTTTGATAGGAGGGAGGGTGGCTCACAGCCTCTTGACGTAGTTCCCGGGGAAGGTACCAAAGAATTTGGTTCTTCTTGAGGTTCCTGCAAACAGAAGCAGTAAAGGAAATATAAGTCCATATACATGGCTGGAAAGATCTTCCTGTACAAGGCTTCGCTGAAGGAGCAAACCCTACAGGGCACAGGGAAGAAAACACACCGGGACACTAGGAAGACTGAATCAGCAGTTTTCTCTGCACTGCTGGTGGCCAGTAGCGTTTTATGGTTAACTGCTCTGCCTCCATCACGCCGGGCTGAATCCAAGAGCCCAGCCTCTCAGCCCGCAAGGAGTGTGTCCTGCTGGGGAGGTGGATTTTTAAGTGTAACATTCTCACACCTTGACACAGGTGTCACGTGGAGGCATCGGGGCACATGGTCACAATTGTTCTATTGTCTCGCAGAAGTTCATGCCAAATGCCCCACGGTTCATTTACAAATAGCACTGCCAGAGTTGTTAATACAAGCTAGAAAATTCAAGCAACTTGCAAAGTTACTAAAGGAAAAAAGAGATAAACCACCGTTTGTGGAGGGGGGTGGGAGGGGCCTCTGTCATCGGGCATGACTTCTAATTTGAGTGAAACCACAAGGGGCCATCGATGTGATCGCCTTTCCTTTCAAAGGACATGATTCTTTTGAAACTTTTTGTAACCGCTGGTGTGCTGATTTCATCCTCAGGATTTCCAGCTCAAATTAGAGTGAATAGCGTCGTCCCAGCTCCACGTCTGGTTTGGGCTCTGTCCCTGTGTAGGTGAGCCCTTTGGCTTCGGTGCCGTGAGTTAACAGACACAGAGGCGGAGGCTCGGGGCTGCACCGCGGCTGTGGTCCTTTTACTATTTCCTTTCTGATTGCCTGGCTGCACAGTCAGCCCCGCATTCCCTCATCTGCTGTCCCCTCCAGACTCCCGTGCCCTTTCCCGTGTGCCCTGCTGTGTGAGGCTCTTGTCTCTAACTGTCCCCTCAGACCACTCCTAGTCTCCCAGTGGTCGGAAGGGAATGTCGGTCTACTTTCGGCACGAATTACAGGGGGGCGAATCCCCAGGCTGCTAGGGCGCCCGCAGCAGACCTCGTGAGTGGGTGAGCTGTTTGCTGGACCTTGTTCTCTCCAATGGACCCTCACTGGTGACAACTAGTATTCTCCGTGGGCCAGAGTGTTAGTATTTCTTATCTAGGGAGCATTTTTGTTGGTGTTCTTAGATCTCAGCCTTTCCTGGTTGGTGCCATTGAAGGATATTTTCTTCTCCAAGGTGAGTGGCAAAGAAAGCTGGCAGCAAATCACATCTACCCAAAGCGGCCAACACTAAACTACAGTAAAAATGCAACAGCCTAGTGCATATGAAAGTCTGAAAGAGCAAAGGCATTATGAAATCAAAGAGAGCTCGATTGTCAGGTCAGGCCATGCAAGGGAGCAAACACAAACACATTTCAAGTGGCCGAGTCTGTCGAGAAGGAGACGCCCACGTACCCACAAACCACCCGTCATCACATTTTTCCATCACGTCGATGACGTCGCTCTCTCTGAGCTCCAGCTCGTCTTCATTCCGAGGAGTGTAGTTATACAGAGCCTGGAACCTGCGACGGGGCAAATGGACGTGCATAAGAAGGAGGTCCTTGCGGCTTTGCGAGACTATAGGAGGCGCACACTGTTTATTTTGCCCTTCCCATTTCTGTTCTTCCTAACATTTTAATTAGGTGACCTAAGTCTTTGATAAGCACGTACGGAGAAATATTTAGACTCTCATGGGAGTTAAATCACTCTACTGGCTTTTCAAAACTTGCAATGAGGAATATTCATGGCAGATTATAACATCTCTGAGTTGGATTAAACATTTGAACGTTTATCAATCAGACCCACATTTTGACGAGTCACACATGTTGAGCATTCAGACATTCAGCACTAATAAAGAATATGAAAGAAGTGGCAAATGCATTATCCAGCTATATACAAACAAGGAATTACAGTTTTAGCTCTCTACAATTGGAAGGAAATTGTCACAGTTTGCAAGTTGAATTTTCAAATTATTCTAGATTGAGATGTATGTACCAAATGTCTCAGACACATGCCTTCTAAACCACTATGTGAAAATGAATGTAAAACAGAATATTATTATTTTTTTCACCGGGAATAATTCTTTGAAGAAGTTTACTTTCCTAGTATAAGTCCGTGTTTTCTGAGGATTTAGAATTTGAAAATTTGATATCATTCACCCAGGTAATGAAGTGAATGTATTCTCTGCTCTATTATCACTGACAATTTCAAAGAAGAGATAGATTATGGGCATAAAAGTTTCCTTTTAAAAGATGCTGGAGAAACTGTGTTGGATGTGAAAATTCTCTCTTGAGGTAATTTTCCATAAAAAACTTATAGAATGCTACTACTTTCCCTTTTCTGTCTGAATTTTTTGAGATCATATATTTTGGTGACATGGATTAGTAACAAATTCAGACGTTGAATTTTTGGTGATAAAACACCTTGTATGTAGCGTGTGTTAACATGGACCAGCCTTTTGAAAAGTGAAGACACAAATTCTAGCAGCCGCGGAGGTCAGGAAGAACTGGATCTGCAGTGAAGATGAGAACTTCACGGTGCTTCTAAAATATTATCAGTATTGGGAGGGGGTTCCAAAAAATCAGTGAATTTGTCTGCTGTTTTCATAACAGTTATGTGATTCTACCAGTGTGAGAAAATAAGAACAACATGTCAGGGTGTGCTGGATTTTTTTTTAAGCCCCCTTAAAAAATTTGGTACTATGGAATACTGCTCCGGACTTAGCATGGTTTAGTTCTAATTTCTTTATTCACTTGGAAAACCATATTTTGGTAGAATGAAACTATTCTGTCACTTGGACTCAAATGTTGTAAGTCAGGGACATGGCCCCTTTTGGGGCCCCTCTGTGTCCTTGTCCAGGACCTTGGTAGAGCAGGCCTGGGTGGGGGCTGGGGAGTGTCTGGGAAGGAGTTGGTGAGATGAGGCGTCCCATACCTTCTCCTAGAAAACATGTCTTCCCTGGCCTGGGACCAAACCCTGAAATTCCAACACTGGAGATGTCTTCCCCTGTTAATATTTTGGCCTCCTAGTAAAACTTTACAGCCACCTGCACGCTTTGGGATTGGGCTTCTGCACCTCATCTGTTGAGAGGCAATTCTGATTACGAGGAAGGGCGGAGAAAAGCAGCCAGAATCTCGGAGCGACAGCAGAAAAGGTCGGGAGGGGTGGAATACCAACATCACTCCGTTTGGCCGTCTGCGTGGGGCCAGCCCTCGTTGGAGTAATCAACTTAATTTGTTGTTTGCTTAGGGATTTGACTTGGGGGCCATTTAGGTGAAGGGATGGTGCATTTTTTATATCCATGGGGAATGTTGATTTCAACATAGTTCCTTCTATAATTTCACCCTTGAGAGAGAGATTCGTTCCCCGGCTGCTAGTTCAGTGGATATACATCTCAGCATCTCTCACTTGGGGACACACAGATTCTCTGACTGAGCTTCTCAGGGTTCAGCTGTCACCTAGGCACGGCTCCAACCACTTAGGGAGACGGGTCTATTTAAGGCCACAGACCCTGGCTGCTTGGAGACTCTCAAGGTCCCAAGAGCCAATAAAACCAAAATTGGCACGAACTCCTACCTCGCTTTGGCGTGATGACAGCCAGGGTGCTTGTCAAACTTTACTTACCATCCTGGTTCACTTAGACCACAAAAAATGGGGAGGTCAGGGAAATGTAAACCCACCCTTTGGAAACCCTGCTGCCTCTCCGGGCTTTCAGAATGAGCCTGGCGTGGCAGGAAGTGCAGGGAGTTGCACTGTCCCGAGTTGGCTGGGGAGAAGTGCGGGTGGGGGGGGGTGGTGGGGTTCGGGCGCCTCCAGCACAGAGTGGACTTGTCCACAGGGAATGCCCCACCGCCCTCAATGCTGTCCCTAACTTGCAGCTTTTTAGTCGGGCATTTCACCGTAATTCTGAACTGCAGCACTGTAACACATGGTCCCTGTTTTCACTCAAAACCTACTTCTTGCGTGAAAGAGATTAAGTGACACCTCATAAATTGGGGTTGCTGTCCAACAGAAATGTAATAGTGTTTTACAATGTCCAAAGCAGGACTTCAAAACTGTGCCTTCTCCTCGCCTCTGAGCTCAGAGGTTCCATAAACAGGCAAATGACCAAGACTGGAAGTCTTAACTCCACAGTTCACAGAACAGCGCTACATGCCACACCTGTTAATTCACAAAATCCTTACAAGCCGCTCCTATAGTCTGTTGGTGATGCAATAAACCTAACCAGCCCTGGAATTTATTTTTTTTTGTGATGTGATCCTATTGTCATTTGCGTAAATAAGAAAACAAAAACGTTAGAATTACAAGGTCATATTTAAAAGGTTTCCAATTTAGTGAAATTTTGAATGACTCTTATTTCCAACCATCCTTTTCATAGTCTTTTGCTTAGCAAGGCCTTCTGGTTGTACTCAGAGACGGCCAGTCTCGGGTGAGAGACGCTTCCTGAAGAGCATGCTCTTGGCTAGGTTTCAGGTCTGCGAGAAGCCGGGAGGATGCACGGTGAGGAAGGCCCACACCTGCTGGACTCGCTGGGCTCCAGGTGGGTGGAGCCTGGGCCGTGGGTGGGAGGCTTCCTGTGCGGGCTCAGGTGTGCCTGACACACGTCCTTCCAGGGGCCTAGCTCCTGCCTCACACAATGGCAGGCACCAATAGGAGGTAGGTCCCCCCTGAGTATCTCCCCATGGGTAACAATGGAACAGAAAAAGACACAGAAAATGTGAGTCTGAAGGACCGTGCTGACACCTTCAGGATGACTTGACATAGTATCAGCAAGGAGAGGGGACTTGGAAGTGTGAAAAGGCATGTCACCGAATGACAGTGCATTTTTAATACTGCCATTCCCAGAGATCCGTCCCAGAATGTGACTTTGGAATTGTCACTAACTTATCACTTTAGGTCTATTGTTACATTCTCCTGCTCTCTAAACATGCGCAAAAACAATGTTAAGGCATTTTCAGTGTCTTTAAAGCTGTAGTTACTAGGATCTACACCGTGAGTGAGCAGAGGGAGACAAATTCCCACGTCTTAGGAATCTCTACAGCTTCAGAAAGCTTCTCTAGCATGTAAAACCGTCCCTGCAAATCACCGGTTTCTGTTTTAAACTCATGTCTTCTCTCTGTTACGAGAGATGGAGGCTATTGCGACCCCTCTCAATCTGGGAGGTCTCGTGCTAGTTCCTTTGGTCTCTGTCACCCGTAGAGTTGTGCCACCCCCTCTTTGGTCCGTCAGTTGTCCATCTTGTGGGTCAAGGTTAGTCCTGAGTTTAGAAGATAAGAAGAATATACTCACGGTTCCCCGCCACCATGAATGTTTTCGTGAGTAAACGCAGGACGCTGGGGCTGAAATGACAGAATTTTCAGTGTAATCAATGTTTAAACTGGTGCTGCTTAAAAGATAATTTGGATAATGGCATGGTACTTTTCTTGACATTTAATATTTCCTGTTGTAAAAAACCAAGAGGAAGAAAACAACAACCACCAGCAAGGGCTTCTGCAGATTAATAATTAAAATATTTTGAAGGGTGCTTCAAATGAATTTAAGACAACCAAGCTTCAAATGTTTTGAAAATATTCACAATCTAGTCTGCTCAAGTTTTAAGGAAAAGTTGGGGTTTAGTCCCATTGATTTTTTCAAAGGCCAGGAATATGGCAAGAACATAGACACCAAACCACTTGAACGGGAAGTCTGGACACCTTCATCCAACCTTATTCCTCAGCGTTTTCTCAAACAAGCAGAAGATGAACCACATTTAGTCCGACAGCAACTTATTCACATTCATTCTTGTATACTTCTCCGTCACAGAGGACATTTTCACATACAATACAGATGGAGATACTGATAGGCAGACATCCCATGCTACATTTGAATTAACACTCTCTGTTCTCAGTGTGGATAGAACACATGCATTTTTAAAAAAGAGGAAACAGAGAACTTCAAATAGAATGCAACAGACAAGATCCAGGTAACATGTAACATTTTACCTTAGAAGAGAAATATTGGTGGGAATTCCCCGTGCACTGAACTCCCAAAAGAGTTTCCTTGCTTTTTAAACTAAGCATCAAGACCAGTATCTGTAATAGATACTTATAATATTGGAAATGACAAGCCTTAGGATCCCATATATCCACATAAATATTGCAGTGAATGAAACTTAACACAGTGGTTGAATATGTAAACTTTATACCAATGACCTCAATATTACCTTTTAAGGGAAAACTTATTACAATTTTCACAACATGTTTCAAAAGCATGCTCCTCTAAATGATGGCCACATGGGGAAATGAGGAAAATCAGAGCTTGCCCGGCGATACTAAAAGTGACCGATGGCTACTGGACCAGTTACTAGGTGGACCCAGGTGCTTAGGCGTCAGGGCCAGGGCCACTGCCTGGATCTCAGGGTTACGAGGGGGTTCCTGACAGACTGTGTAATTTTCCCTGCAAATTGTCCGGAGAAAGCCCACTGGTCCAAGGTGGGCAACTCTGGGGTTCCTTTCAGTGTGAGTCTAATTCTGCCCCCTTCCTAAATTCTGCATCTACTCTCTTTCCACCTAAGCTGCCTATCTAACCGAAGAAGAGTGGGTACTTGCTTTAGTAAATTATAAGCTTTGATTGTATTAATTGAAGTTTTTGTTAATAGTATTTTTAGAAATTTCAGTCAACAGTCTGTGCATGGAATATATAAACTTAAGACCAAAGAATGGATAAAAATGATTGGACACATGTATGACTTTAGAGTACAATACTCCTATAAGTCAATATAAAATTACTAATGATGTATTTGCTACTAAAATTATAAAATACACTGTTTTAAAAATGATGAAGACTAAGCTGTTTTTCAGCTATTTTAAGGTCATTTAACATAATTAAATCAATTTAAATATATGAAAAGCAAATATAAATCATTTACAAGCCTATATGCTCTTACATTTCTTCAATTTCTTGTTGAATAATATGTATATAAAACTTTTAATGCAGAAATAAGATGTATATATAAATTGCTATGAACATTTTATAATGATTTTCCAGTCTTCTTTCTCATTTTAAATCACCACAGAATAACACTCCCTCATATATGTATATATATATTTTAGTCCTATTAACCATTTTCTTTTTTTTTGTTTTGAAGTTAAGACTGTTCTAGACTATTTTTGTTATCATAAATAACAGTGGTATGAACATTTTATACAAAGGACTATTTTCTTCTTTTGAACCATTCCTGAAAACACAATTCCAGGAGTAAAATTTTTGCCCAAAGATTATACATTCAAGCCACATCCTATTGAAAAGGTTTTCTTTAGTCATTCAAAGATACTGTGTAACTTAAAAATGTAACTTAATAAAACTACATAAAAATGTAACTTAAAAAATATACATTACCATATTTCCAATCACATGTCAAGGTAGCTACTGTTCTTTCACAAAAATAATTGTGGCAACATTTCCAGTGCCTAACAAACTTATAAATAATAAATAGCACTTGTTTTTGCCTGAAGAGAAAATGTCTTGTAAAATATATTTCATTGTGCTCTGAAAATGGTGTCTCTATTTCCAAATATTTAAATCATTCTAATACTTGTGAGATGAGTAAAAATTTGACTTTTACGTGTGGCACCCAGGGCTTGATAAAAGCCATTTCATTCCTTCCTTATGCTAAAGTGTGGCTGCAACTCTAAAAATCAGATTGTTCATTAATGTAAAACAGTTTGCCTTTAACATCAATGTAAGCACCTTTTCGTTATTGTTATGACAGTTTTGCCAGTTTAGTTCAATTCATCTCATCTCGTGCATCATGGAAATGACTCCTCCCTTTGGCAATTATGAAGATGGGGTTATTGCCAGAGGGGTGCGGCCCCCCAGTTCCACGGGCCTCTGCATCTCCAGACCCCATGTAACATGCTCCTGGAATGCTGGCCAGCAACCCCTCTGCTTTCACCCACCTTCCCCACTGTGTCCTCTCTTTCATGTCCTTTGAAAGCGTCCCTCCTTGCTTTTGTTTTCCCCGAATCACCAGCTTTCTGTGCCGTTCCCATCCTCAGGCCAGGGCTGATTACAGCTTCATCGGCACAGAAATTGCGCGTCTATCGCAAGGCTGAGCTCTGGGGTGTCTCTAAGGTTTCCTTTTTATCAGGCATCATTTCCTCGTGAACGTGCATGACTGGGAACCGGCTTTGCAGAAAGATGACCGTGACAGTGTTCGAACTGATTTATTTTAAAAGTGTTTGGTCAACAGAGGAGTATGTAGCATTCATAGACACATTTATGTCTTTCTGGAGTTGGCATTGACCGTATTACCTTGGACACACACCTTAGCTTCCTGATCTCGAAAATCAGGGAGTTGGACAAGATGATGGTTTAGATCTTGCCTGTCCCCCTCAGGGAGTCTGTGAAGGAAGAAGCATGTCCACAGGCATGTTTCCTGTGTCACATAAGGTGCCATCACCAACCTTACTCAGGGAGTTATCAGAGAGCTGTGTCAACTGACATTTATTGGGCAATTCTCAAGTGTTGCAGTCATGTGGATACAGTAATAGTAGTAACTCAACTCCATTCTGTAGATCCGTCTGTAAACCAAATCCCCAAGACGGTCACGAATAAGTGAAAAGAAGAAACAATGATAATGTTGACTCTCACTGTTTATTGCATGAAGGATTACTATGATGGAATAGATGGCCTCAGCTGGTTAAAACCAGCATCTTAATTTTCCCCTTTAGGCAGCTGTTTACGTTCTGTGTGGTCACAAGCAAATCATCTTACGGCCTATCTTTTTTGCTTTTCCTCCTCTTGAAAAAGAGAATGTTGTGTGTCCACACTCTACTGCCACCCCATGGCGAGGAGAGGCAGCAACATGCTAAGCGTTGTTAAGCCTTGAAGTCAGCTCTCACCAAGTTTGTTCAAGCCTGGGTTGATTTAGGAAGGTATTTTAAAGACCGCAGAGCAGTGCGGGCTCGATATTCATCTGTTTCCCTGACCATATTTTTCCCTTCCCATGTTTAAAATTCTTGAGAAAGGACCACTCTTTGGCCACCAGGATTTCTGGCCTGTGATCATTTCTACTTTTTCTACTCAGGCATTTCTATTACTCATAACTTCTTAGCAGTTTTGCAATAAATACAGAACAATATACATTCAGGAAGGCTCACATGAACTATCAATTTATGAATGTGGCTTCCCACATTCATAAATCTGTGGTAACAGACTAGAGACCCCGTGCTGGAAATTTTGGGTATTACATCATGCTTGTATTGTGTTATCTCGATGAGTCTTAAGAGTACAATAAAAATTAGAAAACCCAATGGGGTATCACGCTATTTTCGTGGAAGCCTAAATATTTAATCTTTTCCTTTCAGTGTTGCTATTTTTAATGTCAAAAATGGATACAATTTGAGACAAGTTTTAAGCACATGCTAACTTTCAAAGCCGGGACCAAATCACAAACCACTGATCACACAGGAAGCTGCCTTGAATTATCCTCAAATCTCTAGTATTGGTAAACTATATACTCCTCTAGCCCAGAAGGCGAGACAGTCCGCCCCAAACCCATCTACTCATCTGTGCTTCTGCAGAGGCATCTCTGGAGAGTTACCTGTATCTCATGTTAGGTGATTTTTAAATACAGGTTGACTGTTATCTTAAATACTAATGTGGAAAAAAATATTTGAAAGAGTTATAAGGAGCTCTAGAGCTCTGAAATCAAAATTTTCCCCAGAAAATGTTAGTAACTGCCAACCAGAACCTAGATGAGACTCTCCTCTTAACAGTATCATGTTTATGCTTAAAGGCTTCCTTTTCCTTCTTACACTATGACATTAACTCACACTTTGCATTAATCTAAAGACTATAAAATATTTATATTGCACACAAACATGCATAACATACAAATGCATACTGTAAAAATCTGGCAACAAAAAACTTAAGGTGACCCAAAGCGTGCCCTGTTATTGACCCTTGGGAAATTTTGGAAATTTGTGGCCATATTAATTATGGGAAAAGCCTTTTTTTTTTTTTTTTTTGCTCTGGAAGGCTCTTCTGTGGAGTCTAAGAATCTCTTCAAATCAACATTCCTCTTTCTCTATGGCAACACCAATCTCTGGAAACAAAAGGAGGTCTTATTTTGCAACACAAAAAGCACAAATATGGAATTAAACACAGAGAAGTCTCTCCATTTGTAAAAAGCAGAAAAGGGAATTTTCTTTGCAGTGGTGCCCTGAGACCCTTGCAGACCCCACATCAGGTGACGGTGTGAGGTTAAAGTGGACTGTCAGAACAGAGAGGGTAAACGCACTGGCCTATTCAGGGAAGGTGATTCCAAACCCCGGGCTGCCTTCCTCAGAATTCGCAG